ATGATGAAGAAAGATAAGTCTTAATTAAAGATGTAAAAACAGATTCCATATTATGAGAGCCTTAAAAGATTACATGATTCCCCACCAAACATACAGAGTTAGTTCACATATTCATGGTGAACCTAGATGAATAACAATGAAAGAATGAAAGAGAAAACCCTAAAAAGGTTGAAGAGGAAGCTCAGCATCCAAGATCCTCCTTAAAGGGGTTTGGGAAAAGAGAGAGAGTTACTTCGTTCCAGCCAAAAGATACCTAACCCTAGGGAAACCTTTAAAGCTTAAATACCATTCGTAAATTACAAAAAATTAGGTCAAGCCAAAGTAAAGTGACATTATTCCCGCCTCAGCGGTTATATAAAAATACGCTCAGCGGTAAGTGCGTGTCTTGTTTTCTCCCCTCAGCGGCCATTTTGCCCCTCAGCGGATCTCCCGTGAGTGCCTGAGTGCCGCTCAGCGTTAAACTGCCGCTGAGCGGTGACTTCGGCTTCTCCTTTTGCACTTTTTGATGTCTTTTCTGATTTCATCTCTCTCCTTCTTCACTTCTTCCACCAAATTCACCTTAAACCTGCGGCACCAAAAAACACTGGAATCAAGCATAAACCTGTCCAGCTCTCTTATTATGAAAATATGCCCAGAAAGAATGATTTTCAAGGCTAGTTTCTAAGTGTAAAGGTTTTGCTTTTAGTGTCAATTTTAAGCATGAAATAACAGGTTTTTTCACTGTTATCACTCCAGTACGTGCGCTACTCTTCTTTGAATTTCGTGCTTCACCATTTCAGCATCCGCACCTCTCCAGCAAGCAAGCAATGCACATCCTCTCCAACTCCAACGTGGGAGCAACAGCTTTCATCTCAACTCTGTGTGCTTCCAAAACAAAAAAAACGAAATCTGCCCAAAACCAAGGCACTTAAATGGGCAGCTAGGTGGCTCTTAATCTCCAGGCAAGGCAATTGATTGAAAATTAAACGTGCTTTTCAAAAGAAAATTTACATGTGGAGTGGTGCATTTCTCCTTCAGCCGTGACATTAATGGATTGAAACATAATTTTAAAAATTACATGAAACAAAATGAAAAAAAAGGGGCAAGGAGTAAAAACAAAATTGAAAATTAGCGTGGAACTTCCAACACGTTCCAGCTCTCCCATTGCAGACAAGAGCCCCAAACACTCCCAGCTCTTCATTCCAGAACGCTATTCATTTCACTCACCAGCAACTCAAATCAGCACCTACTCCAAGCCTAATCACTTTTTGCCAACGTTCCATCCTATGATGTGCTGCACCGTGAATAACCATCTCAATCACCGTGCCACAATTAGACAATATAATCTTAGATGTAAGCTTCAATAGAAAGGGTTGAGAACCAAAAATAAAAGAAGGCAATGAGTAAATCAGCAAAATGAAAATTAACATAAAGCTTTCCATTCCATCATCCAAAATCAAGAAAGAAGGTTAAACATGGTTCACAAAAAAAGCTAAGAAAGAAAACATTCTTCTCGTGTGCTCTCCCTAGGGGGGCTGCTGAAAAACTCGTCCTTCCTCTTTCATTCCCCATCTCCTCCTCAAAAAAGAAAAACATTTGAGACCTAAGCTCTGCCCTAAAGACCGTGAGTATGCCTTTTAAAGGATGGGGTCCACACAATTAAAACCTAGTGGTGCCAAGTCACGAACGTCGGAATTTTGGGGTATAAGTTAGGGGACAAAAAATTGACCAAAGGTAAGAGTTGATAGAGAAATTTTAAACTACTGAATACAATTTACTTATTCTTAAAATGTCTGGTGTGGAGAGTCTGAATTTATTTGGGCATTCTTCTGGATGTCGCCCAAAATGTATTTCCAAAATTTTCCTGCACTTCAAAAAGGGAAAGGATAAGAGAAGAAAAAAAAAAAGAGGAAAAGAAGAGAAATGAGTAAGGAGAGGAAACGGAAAGAAGACGAGAGGGAAAGAGAAGCGGGAAAGGGGGAGAGAAAGGGGGGAAGGGGGGGAAGGGCAGGGGAAAAAAGAACAAGGGAAACAGAGAGAAGGGGAGGGGAAAAGGGGAATAGGAAAAAGGGGGATGGAAAAAGGAAGGAAAGGGGAAAAGGAATACGGAAAGGGGAAAAAGGAAGAAGAAAGAAAAAAAAAAAAAAAAAAAAAATAACACAAAAAAAATAAAAAATTAGCACCACAATTACAAATTTCAAACCAAATTAAGCAAATTCAGAAACGGGGAAATAACAAACAATTAAACACAATTCCCTGATTTATTTAAGTGCAATAAACTAAATATAATTCAAGAAATAAAGACTCATCAGAAAGTATGAAAAAGAAAAAGGAAAGTATTGAGCTAAGAGCTAAGAAATAAGAATGTGAAAAGAAAAAGAAAAGAAAAGAAAAGAAAAGGCAAAGCTCAATGCAAAAGGAAAGTTGGGAAAAGTAAGAATGATTGTGTTGATATGATTCTCTTAACTCAAGGGTTTTGTGATCCAGAAAAACCAATTTTCTTGTTAGCCCAGCCACGTATAAGCCATTGAAAAAAGTCCTTGTGATGGATTCATGCTTGTGAATGTTTTTTATTGTGTTAAATGAAAGGAAAGTTGATCATGTGACATTGTGATAGTGGAGTGAATGAGTGATTTACCTCTTAACACTCGTGTTTTGAGGAAAACACTTTACTAGTGAGGAAATATTCATTGTGCACATGAACATCCATGCTTAGTTGATTGATCATTCATGAAATTGGTTGCCTTTAAGCTCCTGCACTTCAGAACTAATTACTAGGAATGCTATGAATTGTATGAACTCGTAATTAAGGATAGGCCTTCTTGCAAGGTGATTTAGAGAGTGGCATTAACAATTGATGAAAAGAATGTTGAATTCCTAAAATATATGAGAGTGAATAAGATGAAATTGATAACCCCAACAACATACTCATCCATATAATTCATTAAAGTGTTTGAATTCTGTCTTTTCCATTGATCAAATTCATGCATACATGTTTATTTACTGTCTTTTGCATATAAAACTACAATCAATTTGTTCTTAAGTCTTAAATAATCAACAAATCACATAACTAAACTAGGCCGTGAGTCCTTTGGGAGAACGATACTTGGTCTTACCGAGTTTTATTACTTGAAACGATTCGGTCACACTTGCTGATTGTTAAACAAGTTTGTGGTGTCGTTTTTCGGTGTTCATAAATTTGTCATCAAGTTTTTCATGACATTGGGTTTCGTTTTTGCCTTTTTCTAGTTTTGAATTGCAGGTGGCTTTTCATGGCGACGATGCGGAGGAGGGAGTCGCGGTCAGGCAAGGGTTTGCGTGAAGGAGATGGTGGCGAAATCAATTGGGATTCTAGCTTAGAGTTCGATTTGGGCGTTTAGGGTTCAAAGGATTTTCGGATCAGATTGGGTTTTACAGGTTTTGATTCTGGTTTGATGATCTTTCCTTGCAAGTCGCGAATGGAGAAGACGCCCATGTGAGGAGGATGGTGGGGAACGCGGCGGTTTCGCGGTTGCAGATCCGGTGATGGTCTGATGCGTGGAGGCTTCGGCCTACGGTGGCTCTCTTGCGGAGCATGGTTGCGGCAAGGTAGTGACCGGCAAGATTGGCACGCGAGGAAGATGACAGTGGTTGTAGAAGATGCGACTCGGTTCTCGCAAGATGCGTGTTGATGGTGGTGGCTTCACGGTGGTGGCCTGACTGGTATCCACGACGACTATCGGGATCTTGCAAGAAAGAAAAAGAAGTTGGCCGACGGTGAGGATGGTACGGCGGTTTGAAGGTTGACAACGGAAGGAAGGCAGTGGCAGCGGCCTGGAGTGTTGAGGCGCGATTTTGGTAGAGCGAGGAAGATGGTGATGTGCGTTGAAGGTTGGTGGCGGAGCGGCGCGGCGGTTTCAAGGTGGTGACGCGTCTTGTAGTGGTTCGACGAGGTTGATTGTCGGTGGAGGACGAAGCGGCGGAGGCGGTAGTTGACTGGCGCGTCCGTGGCGGCTAGGGTTGGATTTGGGAATTAGGGTTTTTGGAAAGAAGATGATGATGTGGCAACATGTGGTTAGACTATTTGGTATGCAGAGGATTAATGACGTGGCAGTTTCTTAATGGTTAGATCTACGTGTAGAGGATTTGGACACGTGGCATAATCTGGTGAAGTTTGGCTTAGGAGGGGTATGAATTAGAAACTTAGGGAGCTTTAGTAGAAAATGGCTTAATGTTTAGGCTTGGTTGTTGGCCTGTTTCAGAAATAAGAGTGTATGTAGGGATTTTAGGAGGTGCAAGGGTAAAGTCTGAATGTTTGGCCTATCTGTACATTATTTTCCAAATAAAACCTGATTTTGGGCCTTGAATTGCCATTTGGATAAATAGAACTTATAATTTCAGCTGCACAAATAAACGTAAAAACATCCAAGAATATTTTATGCGCTAAAACTCACTTTTTACGTCTCTTTAATTCCCAAAACAAACAATTCCAATCAACACAAATCCTCTTTAAATCAATCATTCAAGCACATGAATTTCATCAAAAATTTAATTTTAAACCATAAATGGGGACATAAATATGCACTCATCATATATCCATGAGGGATAAAGTCACTTAAGAAGAAAATGATGATTTAATGGTATTATTGAAACATTAAATTTTCACTTGCTAATAAGTCAAGAAATTCATTCAATAAGAATAAGAATAAAATGTCATAACCTTTTAGCTTTAATTAACAATAAATGGTTTTCAAGAATATATACTTTTTTTTATGTAAAAATTAATGGGACCTTAAATAAAAGATGTCCTTTGTAATGATTTAAGTCTGCTTTTAGATATTTTAAAGGAGAAAGAAATAATACAGTAATTTAGAAAAGTAGAAAAAATAGGCAAAAACTTTGGGAAGCAGAATTTTACGTGGCGAAGCCAAACAGGAACTACTAACCTTCACGTGCTTTGCCTTATCCTATGAAAAAACCAAACTTTGAAGAAAGAGAGAGAAGGAGAGAGCAATAAGTAAGGTGAGAGCGAAAGTTAAACAAGCTAGAGGCACAAAATATTATGTGAGCGAGAAAAGCCCAACAACACACCTAAAACGACGCCGTCCACACTCTCTCAACCAAAATCACCATCTCCCTCCATTCATTATCACACCTAAAACCCAAACCAAAAAGCCACAAATTGTATCATAAAAACCTTAAAGGTCCTCCCATTTATTATTTATTTCTATTTATTAAATTTGTATTCCCTTCCTCCTCTCCTTTTCATTTCAAATTCGAACCCACGCAATCGCAAATTTGATTCAAAATGGCGGAGCAGAGGAACCGTTGGAGCTGGGACGTCGCCGGCTTCGACCCGTGGAAATCATCTCCGCCGTCGCAATCTCCGCCGCCTCCCCTGGAGCACGCTGATCGGAAACCTACTGCGCCATTGGTGCGGCGTTACTCCATTTCTGCTACGTCGGTTCTTCCGCAACCCAGGCAGTCCGTGGCCTTGAAGCTTCAACGGTTGAAAGACAAAGTCAAGGTAATGCGTTTTCGTCTCCGCTTATGACTGTGCTGTTACTTTTTCTTCTTCTTCGCAACGTCGACGTTTTGGCCCTTCCTTTCTCTTCTTGATTTGGAAAGTGTTCCAATGGTTTTAGCTTCTGCCTCGTAGCTAGTGCTTGCAACGACGACGTTTTAGGTCGTGTTTCCACTTTAAGAGCTGCGTTGTGGTTTCTACGAGTAGTTTCAGCTTGCGAAGAAAGGGAAGGTGCAATGCTTGCGGGGTTTGAAGGCTCTGTAAAATTTCGACGTACTAAGCTGGAGTGACATCGAAGAGTGTATAGGATTTGTTTCGGGGTTGTGTGTTGAAGGGTGTTTTCACTTAACATGAGTGCGTTGATTTTTTTAATGAATGACTGCAGATTTTTGTGTTCACCATTGTCCTTTTTGTGAACTTCGATTAATTATTGGATGGCTATTGCAACTTATATTGTTTGTAGTACTTAGTGATTCTGTGATGACGACTACAAAGAGGCTACTCTTGCGGTATCAATATTTGAATTCAGGCTTAGGGTGTTTTAGAAGACGCTGTTCTGAATATTACGATATGAGCAAGAAGAATTCGGCGTAGGAAGAGTTTTGGATCAAAGCATGGAGGCTAGAAATGTGCTGGTGTATGCTTATAATTTGAATTCTAGTTGTAAAAAAGAACAGAGTACCGATTGTACCCGTTTTTAAAAATTGTAGAGCGGACTATTTTTGTTTGTTTATGTATTCTATTTGACAAGTATAAGCTAAATGATTAGTTTCATATGTTATCGAATGATTATAATATTCTAGTATATAACGTTCCGTATTGAAAATCACTTTCTGTAATGGAATATGCTAATAAGGGATTTTTGGGTAGTTTGGGTGTAGTTAAAATCTCCATGCAACCATTTATCAAGAAAAAAATAAGAGGGTTAGAAGATGTAATGCTTTTAATACTATTTAAACTTTTAAAGTACTGATAATTTTACTGGTCCGTCTTCTATCTGGTTTGGGTTATTGTTTTTCATGTGGCATCCTTGCCAATTGTTTTGGATAATGTGATTTTGGTTTCGTCATGTGTTAACAATCACATCAGATATTTTGCACAGCTTGCTAGAGAAGACTATGTGCAATTAAGACAAGAGGCAAATGAACTTCAAGAATATTCAAATGCAAAACTTGATCGAGTTACACGATATCTAGGTGTTCTTGCAGAGAAAATCCGCAAGCTAGGTAAGCAATTAATTTTTCTTGACTCTTGGATCATGCGGCTTAAATGGACCAAAGGTTTTGAAATATAGACATTTCTCCTGTAAATTCTTTTGCTTGAATGAAATACATAATTTCAGGACAACATGAGATTCATTCTTTAACCTTTTAGGGAAATGAGAGTCTTGGTTTTTCACACAGTTACAAGGTCTGATCTATGTTAACATATAATAATAGATTTGACATTTTTAGCATTTAGTTTCTCGAAATAAATGAAGTTAAGCACGATTTTATCTTTTGTTTCTAGTAACCAAGAAACTTTGGGGGAAGGGAAGTTCTCTGTTTAAAACTTTGATACATTTTTTTTTCTTATTTTGTGTGTGAAATTGTACTGTTGGTTTTCTGTCACTAAATTTTGAAAATTTCTACTTTGAATTTCAGATCATGTAGCCCTTGAAACTGAAGCAAAAATAGCTCCGCTGATCAATGAGAAAAGAAGACTATTCAATGATTTATTAACATCTAAAGGTAGCTTATGCATAAATTTACCTGAAGTGTTGGGCAGTTTCTTTACATTCACTCTTTTTTGGTCTCCTGTTTTCTATTTTTATAGTAACCGGAAGTGAAGCTAGTTAAGTACTCAATGTTCCTCTTATTGAAGCATACTCATGTATAAGCTTTTCTGAGCTGAAAACTGCAGCAATTAATATTATTTGCAGGAAACATACGAGTATTCTGCCGAGCAAGGCCATTATTTGAAAATGAAGGTGCTTCAGTTGTTGAATTTCCAAATGACTATACCATTAGTGTAAATACTGGTGATGAATCCTTGTCCAATGCCAAGAAAGACTTTGAATTTGACCGAGTTTATGGACCTCATGTGGGTCAAGGTAAAAGGATTTTATCCTTTCTTACCATCTTTTTTGAGTTTAAGCACCATCTTCGATATGTACTCTATAGACCACTTCTCACCCTTGATTTTCTGTTTGCAGCTGAGTTATTTAGTGATGTTCAACCACTGGTACAATCAGCTTTGGATGGATATAATGTTTCCATATTTGCATATGGACAAACACATTCTGGAAAGACACACACTATGGTTGCTTTCTTTCTCTTGCTGTTTATGTGTGTGCATTCACAAAACAATTCCTCTCAAATAAATTACTATAAAATAAAAGGTGTTTTAAGTTCAATGTTGTCTAATATTGAAAATGAAATGGCTGCCCTATGGGTGAATTACTTTAACGTGTTCTTTTGTCTTGAGTCAATGACTATTGGCCTAATCAATTGCTTCTTTGACATTCATTTGTTACTCTCAGGAAGGATCAAGCTATGATCGAGGTTTATATGCTCGTTGTTCTGAGGAGTTGTTTGATTTATCCAATTTAGATTCAACTTCTACTTCTCAATATAAATTCTGTGTTACAGTTTGTGAGCTATATAATGAAGAGGTCTCTTTCTATTTTCACTTATTGCATGCCCCCTTCCTATTGTGTTTCTGGTGTACTTCCTGATTTTCTGTTCATTTAGGGTGAGTAGTTTTTTTATATTCTTTTGTGTTTTCAGACTAGGGATCTACTTTTGGAGGCAGGGAAAAACACTCCTAAACTCAGCTTGGGGTCACCTGAATGTTTTGTGGAACTGGCACAGGAAAAGGTTGACAATCCTGTTGAGTTTTCTGCAGTATTAAAAGCTGCATTGCAGACTCGGGAAAATGATTTGGCAAAGAATAATGTTTCTCATTTGTACGGTCTAAATTCTCTTCCTACATTATATTGTGTTGAAAGTGTGGTCGTTTATGTTATTTTGAGTTGCACGATATACCTTTTTGATCGACTTTACCTAGCATGCATTTACTAATTTATCTGTTGAGATCAAATGTATATATTGAATATTGCTCCTTGGGATGTGTGTGTGTGTAGGAAACACATCAAAATAGGTGAGAGTGTAAAAGGAGCAAATCTCAACAATGGATGTTTATATTAAAAATAATTAAAGCAATCTTGATGTGATTGTAAAAGAGGAATATTAATAACATCTACTCATATTTTTAGCATAGCTTCAATTTGAGTATGTTTGATTGGAGATAGGAATAAGCTAGCTACCTTAGGAATAACGTGTCTCTCATGACCATCCGTGTTGGGTCAAAGACAATCCATGGCCTTAGTTTCTATATAGGGAGCTAATCGCTTTCGTGTAATATAACATGAATCATAATACTTTTTGGGTGTTCTTGTGAAATTCCTTGTCTTTTTTCTTGGGTGGTATTTGATTCATAGCTTATCTCTTCTGTGGCAAAATGGTGTGATTCAAATTTCTCTTTAGGGTTTTTATGTTGAGAGTCTTGTCTCAAATGGTGAATCACCATTCTTGCTTATCTTATGAAGTTTAGGTGGTGTAAGGTTCTTCCTAATTCGTTGTATTTCTTTTTTGAATTATAATCTTTTATTCTCTTCCTTTTTCATTGCTTCAACAAAACCAAGATCAGAACTCATCTAAGATTCCTTCCAAGATTTTATCCAAGATCCAACCAGGAGTTCTTCCTTGAAGCTTGAGTGGAAAGATTTACGCATCCAAGCAAGCCTAGCTTGGGTTTCCATCAAGCCTTGACCATTAGTATATGGTTGTGTGATCAGGATTTACTCCTCTCACCCTCTCACTAGAAATGTCCCATAAAATACACACATACACACACATGTGTGTATGTGTGTGTGTTGTATTGGTGGTTTGAGAAGACATTGCTATTTTAATTTGATGTTTTCACAAATAATTATAAAAGGGCCTCCTCCCTTTTTTTACATTGTTTTCTATTTTCGAATATTTGTACTGGAAACAGCATAAATAACATTTTCTATTAAATGTATCATTTGTGACATTGTATTATCAGAAAGAAGATTGTCAAAGGTTCTTCTTTTGTAGTTGTTTCTATTTTGATATTTCTGTGCATTTGTTGCCATATTTTCTGACTGCTGTAGACTAAATCACCTCTGGATTTCATGTTTTTTTTTTTTTTTTGTCAGGATTGTCACAGTACACATATTTTATAACAATTTGATCACGGGTGAAAACTCATATAGTAAACTCTATATGGTTGATTTAGCTGGAAGTGAAGGTTTAATAACAGAAGATGACAGTGGGGACCGTGTCACAGATTTGCTGCATGTTATGAAGTCTCTTTCAGCGTATGTAACTTAATGCATTATTTTTCTCCATTAGTAAATTTGTCAGTATTTGCTTATATTAGTTGATTAAGTTTTTGTCCATCCATGTCTTTAGGTGGCAATGCACTTAAAGTATTTTCTGTTGTCCTATATGTGTTACTTTATCAGCTTTCATTACTTGTTGCAAATGTTACCACGGAAGCTAACCATATTTTTAGTTCTGCTTCTGCTTAGGGAACGAAAGTTTCAATATTTAATCTCCTAATAATTGATTCGGGTTTGCTTTCACTTATGGTGTTAGAGCACTATACTTACATTTGGCTATACTTTTATGCTACATTTACTTAATTCCTTAAGTCCCCTATCAATGCCTAGCATGAGCTTATTTGGAAGTTCCCTATCAATGATGAAATGGATTTTAAAGCTCCAATACATCATCTTTACAATCAAGTTTAGATGTGGGTTTCTGATTAAACTTGCTCTGCAAGGAAGGAGGAACAACAATAGTACTTGAACCTGGTTCTGATTTGTATACTGTATTGAACCATGCTTGGATAACAATTCTATGTATCTACAAAAATGAAATGTAATTTGATTCTTTGTAACTCCTAATATGTGCCAGCTATTTTCTTGTTTTATATATAGATTTTATTTTCTATTTATATAGAAATTTAAGCAAGTTTAGTTGAAAGAATGTGGTGCAGTGAAAAAAATTAAATTTCTGATTTGTTACTTTTTTAAAATGAATATGCAGGTTGGGAGATGTTTTGTCTTCTTTAACATCAAAGAAGGATATAATACCTTATGAAAATTCAGTGCTAACAAAACTGCTTGCAGATTCACTTGGTATTGATTTTTTCTTCCCTCTTATTATCTTTGATGTCTCTGCTTATTAAAATGCCAATGTGCGTTTACAACTTTGGTGTGGTTTTTTCATTGTTAGAAGTCTGTGGCCATATATTGCATGCTACCGAATTTTTTGTTTATGTGTATTATTGTTTAGAAAACATCAATTTTTATAATTCTAGGGAATATTCTCCATTCCTTATATCTGGATGACATGCTCAACCTTTGTACCACGTTCTAAAAGAATAAAAAGCTTTTCATTCTCTAATTCTCTCCAAAGAGACACTGTTCTGTTTCTCTCTCAATCTCCCCCTCTAACTTTAACTTGGAAACAAAGTGATAGCAGCTGCAGTTACCTGTCCTGTCACAATAGTCACATCACATATGCTGCTGTCTGGGTAATCATGAAGCTGTTGTCTGATTTTGTCTTCATTTGATATTCTTATGGTCTTGTTGCTTATTCAGAAATATATTGCTGCATATGCACTCTTCTGTTGCTATGACTGTTGTTAGGGTTTAAGGTGGGAGGTAATGAGAAGGAGAAGAAAGGTAGGAGGGAAGTGAGACCAAATGGTATTGACCGTAAAGGCTGAATGGTGGAAGACATGGAGAGGTAAGGCCGAACATTGGACAAAGGGGAGCGACCAGGCTGAACGGTGGACAATGGGGAGCGACCAGGCCGAACGGTGGGAAGCAGGGAAGGACTTGAGCCGAACAGTTGAAGAATCACCATCTTAACTGCGTAGCGGTTAGGGGGGGCGAGAGCTAATTACAGTAAAATGAGCCACAATAGGAGAGAATATTCAGTATAAGTTAATTAGAGTAAATAAATATATATCCTACAGAAATATTCAATATAAGATATTTATAATTAAGGATGTATGCTAGGGTAATATATGGGGATATTTATATTAAATATAGAGATATTTATATTAAATGCAAATATATTCTAGGGAAATATTTAGTAAGAGATGGGGCGGGAAATAATTATTATAAATAAAGCTAGAGTCTAGGGTTAAGGGTATGCTTTTTATTATTGAGTTTTGTGACAGACATTATTGTCTTGTGAGGGAGGTTATGCTCCCAAATAATTGATGGAGGTTATGCTCCCAATTATTGTTTACTTTTGTTTATTCAGATATTACCATCAATAAAAGATATTTATTCGTTCAATTCTATTCTTTCATTATTCTTGTTAGGATATTTATCCTATTTTATCATCATTATAGTGTGTCAAGGGTTACCCTATTTATCATGATTATATTATGTCTAGGATTACCCTATTTATCATGATTATATTGTGTCTAGGGTTACCTATTTATCATGTACTTGTGTATCAATTTATTCTTATAAATAGAAGATTGTGAGAGGGATCAAT